CAACCTGCTTGCGAAATGTACCCGTGAAGCGTGGGCATGTTTGTAGAAGTTGAGTTTTGGCGTTGGGGATCGGAGGCTTTTGAGACTTGCAAGCCGATCCTTTTGCTTTGGCAGTTCTATCCGTTCGACTTCATAGACTGGTGCTCCAGTTTTCACTGCTCTTCTCCAGGCCGTTTGGTCCCGTGCGGAGCCTGATCAGGTTTTCAGGTTGATTTACAAACGCTTGAAAAAATCGTTTGGGTGTCCTTATAGTGGCTTGTTTTACCTCCTTGCCGATGAGCGCCCGTAACGAAATCTCCGTAGAAGAGTCGTTTGGGTAGCCGCTCATCGTCCGTCCCCACGAGATGGGCTCACCATTACGCCTCAGCACGGCGTTGATGCTGAGTATTCCAGTCTGTTCCAAAAATTCCACGCCCAGAACCCTTACCTGCTACCTCAGCTTTAGTATACCCCGGAGACAACTTAGGTGTAAGCGATTGAGTTTCCGCTCCTGTTTCTTAAAGGTTGCCCGCACCAAATGGCAGGGTCGTCAAAACGACAACTTTGTACGTATTGAGATTAGTGTGGAGATGAAGACCGTGGCAATTCCATAGGGAGTTCTGCAGCCAGCCAAAAGCTTGGCTGGCTTTTGAGATCTGGTGAGCCACTTCGTTGTCGATTGTAATACAGCTTGAGAGTGTGTTGCCCTAGTAGGCGAGATTGTCTACAGTCTTCAGATGGGTGCCATTAACGTGGATGCGAGGAGCACTTCATGCAGCATTGGGAAGCGGCCGATGTCTGACCACCGTCCTGTCCACGTTGATAGTTAGTTCGAAGTTGGCGCAGGCAGAGGCGAAGAATTCCAGACTCCGCTGCATGTCTGCCTCTGTCGCTTTGTTGATCGCGTAATCGTCCGCGAAGAGCAGATCGGGGACGGTATTCGTGGAGAAACGCGTTGGGTCAGCATGTCCCAGTTATTGAGAAGATGGCCACATGACGCTTCAGATAATTTGTGGATGGCAGCTCTCAGACGGTCGTGCCTCCACGAAAAAGTTAATTAAAAGGCGCCTATATACAGGTTTTTACTCAGGGTATTCTTCCAAATAATGTTGTTGCTATTGCAACTAGGAGATTTCATTTAAACTCTTTTGAATGACTGCCTGACTAAAATAGTTCGACAGGCCTGAAAACGGTGAGCAAGATGGATGTGATCCTATTTGTTTGGAGGTAAGTTCCTCCTCTGAATTTGCAGGTCTCAAAATTGTCGTATAAATCGGACAATGACCACGCTAACATTTTGCGAATTTTAATTAGTTCATTAAGTTCACCCGTTTCATTCTCTCTTCGCTGGCCTCTTTGCTAGTGTCCACAGTTAAATTTTTAACTCTTGTGACTTCATGACCGTCCGCCCATATTTTCTTAGAAGCTGTAGTTATTCACTACAGCACAGCGCTCTGACTGAATGGGGGTTGTAAGGTAATATGAACTCAAAGCCTAAATAATCCACAGAGTTCGGACCAAAACCCTAAAAAAGTGAGATGATAATTGATCCCTCATCATGTTATTCCAACCTTCTTTTTACCAAAACATCAGAGACAATCATACAATATGTTTGAGTCTGATAGTACTCACTCGACTTGGGGTTTTGCGTTACCCGTTTCATCGAACAGACTTGACTTGCAACGGAAAAATGAGTCTTGCTGTCAAGTTGGACGTTGGTTGCTCGTCGTGTTTGCCGTCCGTGGATAGTGGAATGGAATTTATGAGTAATTACGAAGTAGACGGACAAATGTCCAATGAATAAACAACCGCTGACTGGTAGCGACTGCCATGATCGGGCGCTGAGGACAGAGATCTGGAAAATTGATAAAAGTACCGCAAATGAGCTGGATTTTAAAAACGAGGGAATCCTGTAGGCTGTCACCTCAGTGATAACAACAAAAACGAAGACGAGACAGGCACATCTCAGTCATGCAAGGTGTTGCTGTCGGGGGGTCGTTTTGCTCTGTATCTGCAGCTTATCACTTAGCAACTTTCTGGTCTGAGTAGGCTCTGCTGCTCATCATGCGCGATAGAGATTCCTGATGATCAATTAAAAGTGAACAACGAAGAAACTGCTGCGAGGTCTGTCTACTGCAGTTGGTTTACAGTGTTGTCAGACAGTACTTTTTTGGTAGAGGGCCGCTCACTGATTGCGCTACGGAACTCACCCATCCCGTTGTGCCTTTGGATCTCTCTCGAATACTTGCCTTCCAGCCGTGGAAGTTAAACGTAGAAAACTGAGAGGGCAGCTACAAGTTGGAGGATGTTATCGTTACCCCAATCTCCATGAAAAGCGGCGGATAACAGTGCAGGACCTAGGACGTCATAGGCTTAATAGTGACCCTAAGTAAACCTTCAGCAATCGCCTTCCTTCCTCATTTTGGTTAAGGCTGTTATTTCGGAATAAAGAATCAATACGGCTTCCAACCTGGCTGACGATATCGTCATTGTCATTTTGCCGCTCTTTTCGGGGATTTTTTAATAACATATAACACTGTTTATAGGAGTTCGCTGTAGCCGATCATGATTCGTAATTACATGTTATTGGAACTGCTAAAATTGGTTCGAGTCTAATATCGGCGAAGAAAGATCTATTTCAGTGTGAATACTGGACGCAATGGTTTGCTTGAATGTCGGCTTCGAGGTTTACAAGGGCTACCTGCTCTAACTTATACTGTTACGTTACGCGATTGATTAGGCTTAGCAATGCACACTGGCAGAACGAGTCGATATTTTAATCGGTTGCGATTTCTATAGGGTCGCACTGCGGGAGAATTCCCTTGCAGAAGTGTTATGTGCTCTAGTTAAGATGGACACCAGGGCAACCGAAGTGAACCTGAGACGAACTAATCCAAAACGGGACATGATCGTCTTTTTTCTTGCGGTCGAATATTTTCACTCACTAACGTCTTCAACTAGCGAACAGTGGACGCCTCTATTTCCTAAACTGACTGGGTAAAAATCAAATAGACAGCCGAATAAACCAAGCGTGTGCTACCTGTTAACTACTATGTCGCCATCTCTGGAAACAGGCAATCGAAAGATCTAACTGCGAGTTCACGTGGATTCAGTCGAAACAAACCTTCTTTTAGAAACGATACGTGTGGTTCACGTCCCCAGAGTACATCCACCGCACTTAAATCATCGGATTAAGGGTACTTGCTCCTCTTCGCCGAGTTCATCTCTCTGATTATGTCTCAAAGAACCACATCCTCCTCACTCAGTAAATTAGAGGATCCAGTCGAATGTTTCATCGAAGCTCCTGAAACAGAGACTCAGTTTCCCGATAAGCCTTCATATGATAAATATTTCCTGAATCATTCAAGAAAACCGGTTAGGACAATATATAGTCTCAACTCTCTTCTTAAAATGCGGCAAACGAAATTTTGACTAGAAATTATCCGGTCTGTAAACCGCACTCAACATCAACAGCCTCCCGCTTTTAATATGCTTTTTATTTTTTTCATTTCGCCAAGTTTTTATGCGCTTCGCCTTCATATCCAAATAAAAACGGCATGTTGCTTTAGTGATAAGGAAAATCATGCTCCCTTTACCATCCCTGTCTCCGGGGCCTAGTGTTTTAAAAAAAAATCTATTCGGAACTCGAGCTTTAAGTGGTTTTATCTATGAAGTAAGGGAGCAGTGGTAATTCGGATTCTGGTATTGATACACAATAACGTTCCACGTCAAGAACACAGATATCCAGCGAAATTGCAGGAGTAGAAAGAGGCTTGACACGAAGATGCACAGTAACCGTAAAATATCGAAGACGTTTTATGACTACGACAAAAACAATAAAAAATGAAAAAATGGCAATGTTGTTCAGGCATCTGTTTGGCAATTTCTTCAAGCATATGAAGTTTTTTGAATTGAAAGCGCTTATCGACTAAATTATTAAGCTCCCGTCAAACTGCGAATGTTCGCTTAAAACCATGATATACAGACAAATGATTCTGAACTACAAAGAGTATTACAGCAATTAATTATTTATAGTTCAGTAAACAAACCTAATAGATTTGAAACCGCAAGACGAAAATTTCTGGCATTCGAAGATTTCCTATTAAATTTGCGGAGGATATTTGAAAACGTCTGCCGCAATCGCTTAATGAATATCCGTTTGCCGCCGTTTCATGAACGTGAATTCGGTTGTGCGTAACAACTGGATATGGAAAAAACCGCGTTGGGAAAAGAATCGAGTTTGCACGACAAGTACTAAAGCCCTGACTATTCACTTTTGTCGTAAACAGTTGAAAACGTGTGCAGCAGCACTTACTAAATTAGATGGGAATGTCTTCATTGCGTCAAAACTGCCTGTAAAGTCTTCCTATGCATACCATTTATAAGTTTTGATTTTCATATGTATGTCGAAGAGAGTAAATATTTTCCAGAAAGTATGGAAACCTCATGAGGATATTAACTTGAAGTGATTTCTTTCTTTCTAATAAGCAAATTGTGCAGACATATTCAGTTCTGTTGGTGAAAACTGGCACATGTCTGATAAGCATAAGTCTCTGACGCTTGAGAATTTTCAAATTAATGCATTAGAAATGTCTAATAATACCATCGTTTTTGTTGCAATTTAACTTCTACCGTTTTCAAAACAGATACAATACTTTCTCATCAATTTCGTTAGAATAGCTCATCGGGAAATCAGGTGGAAGAATAATACAAAAGAGCTTTCACACTATTAAACCCGAGTCAGCGAGTCATCCAAAGTAACTCTACTGCACGCGCCGAACTTAAAAATGCCGAATATATGAACAGAATGCTTTTTTCGTGGGGGAGATTTTCAGCTGGAAGTGAGACAGGCCAAGAGTCAGAATAAGCAAACATTTTCATTATGAACAGGAACAAAATAAATTTTTGGACTTTGAAAATTCAACTCGTTACGTCTTTCAAAAGTAATCTATGATTAAAAGAATCCATAAGCTCCAGTTTTAGTGCTATTCAGAAAGACATGAGCGACATAAAATGTCTAGATGACCCGTCTCTCCACCATCTCCGGCATCGCCATCGTCCGCCTGCCTCAAGTGGAGACCATCGCCAAACTCGAGCCCCCGCCATCTCTACACGAAACCATCACGGCCGTGCAGAAGCTCTGCAGTGGAAATGTGCCCGGTTCCGACACGATCCCTGCTGAGATCCACAAACACGCTAGCCCCCAAATCGTGGATCATCTGACGTCACTCTTCCAAGAGATGCGGCGTCGAGGAGAAGTTCCACAGGATTTCAAGGCCGCCAAAATAGTCCATCTCTACAAGCCGAAAGTTAATCTCCAATTCTGCGACAACCACAGAGGCATCTCCTTACTGAACATTGCCGGCAAGATCTTCGCTCACATCCTTATCAGCTGTGTCAACGAACATATGGAACAAGGTCTCCTACAGGAAAGCCAGTGCGGCTTCCGTCGTCACCGCGGAACCACCGACATAATCTTCGCGGCTCGCCAACTCCAGAAGTGCCATGAGATGCGGACCCACCTGCACTCCACCTTCGCGCATCTGAGAAAGGTCTTCGAGAAGGTGCATCGCGAAGAACTGTGGAAACTCGTGCAGAAATTCGGCTGTCCCGAACAATTCACTCAGATGGTGCATCAGCTCCACAATGGAATGACGGCACGCGTCACGGACACTAAAGTCGTATCAGAGGCATTCGCAGTTACCAAAAGAGTGAAGCAGCGCTGCGTCCTCGTGCGCGCCCTCTTCAGTCTCATGCGGACAAACGAACGTGACGAACGCCCCGGGTCCGCGTCGCCTACAGAACGGACGGCCAACTACTCAACCACCGGCGGGTGCACATCCGATCTCGTGTATCCGCAACTTCCGTCTATAAACTTCTCTTCTCCGACAGCTGCACTTTCAACGCCACCTCGGAAGGGGACATGTAAGGCAGCCTGGGACTGTTCGCCGCCTTCTGCGACAACTTTGTCCTAATTATCAACACGGAAAAGACGGTGGTTATGCACCAACCGCCAGCCGAAGCTGCCTACGTAGCACCCCAAATAAACGTGAACGGCACTCAACTGCAAATCGTGGACAAATTCACCTACTCGGGCAGCATCCTCTATCGAGGACGAAGTGGCCCGCCGGATTTCGAGGGCCAGCTAAGCCTCCGGGCGTCTGCAAAGCACAGTTTGGAATCGACACGTTCTCTACCTCAGCACCCAATTGAAAATCAACAAAGCGGTCATCGTGCCGACTCTGCTGTGTGGAGCGGACACTTGGACGGTTTATAAGAAACAGGCAGGAAGACTCAACCATTTTTACCTCAGTTGTCTCCGAAAGATACTGAAGCTGACGTGGCAGGACCAGACCAGAGCACGGACATACTGGGAGGGACGGTAATCCTCAGAATTTGAACCATGCTGAGACAGCTGCAATTGCGCTGGAGCGGTTTTGCCGAGGCGGCAGACTATTTTTCATTTACCTACCTGTTCACCATTCTTGAACTAACGGTTTGTTTATATAAATGGAAGGAACTTAGCTCAACGCGATGCGTGCGGTATGTGTTGGACTATCAGGACGTTTGACACTTAATTATTAATTCTTTCATAACTCCTGTCTTGCCCTTATGTCCATAGCCTGGGATTGACAATCGTGTTCTTCGCATTCACAATAAGGTCACCTCGTGTTCATGGGCGACGAGTGGCTACGCAAATGGCTATTCTACGAGGATACTGCAACAGGTCTCTGCCGACAAGTAGGCTAAGTCTGTCGCTACAAGGACACTCTGAAGATTTCCCTGAAGTCCCCAAAATTCCCACGATGCCAACGGACGTTCCGGGCACCAATCGGACTTATTGAACACCGCGGCGATACCACTCGATGTTCCTCTCCACTTCGACAATTAACACCGCCTTCACTTCTAAGCCACCATAGCCATCCTCCTCCTCCATCGCCTCAACATCCGCTGTGGCGGCTCCTATACTCACCACGACTGCACACAATCCTGACACACCAACGAACATCAACATCCTTACCGTCAATGCCAGCGATGCGGACTCGATCCATACCTGTCCTGATTGCGATCGCAACTTCACCCCACACATCGGCCAGATCGGTTAGTTGCGAATCCATCGCACAGAGACAGGCGAGCCAAAGCCTGGGGCACTAAACCACACTCATCGCATTCGGTTCCACTGTCCACACTGTCACTGCACATTCACTCACCGCATGGGTCTATTCGATCACATACGTATCCACAAGAGCGGAATTGACCGCAGTCTCGACACATCTAGCACCTCTTGCACACCCACTATGCCTAGCTTAACCCACACCCAGCCGCCCAGCGCACCCACAACCATGATCCCCAACACACTCAGCACATCCTGCACACGCACCACGCCTAATTCAACACACACCCCGTCACTCAGCGCGTCCACAATCAGTAGCTCCACCTCTGCCACCATCTCTGAAACCGACAATGACACCGCCGGCTTTCCCTATCTACAATGTCCGGGTACATTCACCACACACTTCGGCCTGGTCGGTCACTTGAGAATCGATTGCACAGAGACTGGCGAACCCGTGCCTGGAGCACCCGCATACACTCGCCGCATCTGCCTCAACTGCCCTCACTGCACATGCACATTCACCCATCGCATGGGCTTATTAGGCGACATGCGCATTCACGAAAACATGCGGTAGACAACCGCCGGATACATTACACTATCACATACCCCCCCCCCCCCAACAACACCTGAGTCACGCAACATCATCATCCACCACGAGCATCCAACTGCCACCTCCCACGTAAGTGAGAAGTGTGCGTCCCGGCTCCGTCTCCGTGCGGCTCAACTGCTTCATTTGTGATTCGAGTCTGAGTCTACCACGGCGAGCCAAGCGCCATGCCTTGGAAGGCTGCTGACTGACGTCCCCAATCAGCTCACGCAGTCTGTTCGTTTGCGTGTGTCTGTTTGGAGTGGCCGACTGGTGGGCCGACAGCCAGGCTGAAATGGCTCCTTCCCAACGTGACCTACGGCACTCTCACGCATGTGAGATTTACACCGCTCAACCCGCGTTGTGTGGAATCTTGGTGCTTGTGTTTGGGAAACCAGGTCGTGCATGTGACGCGCGCAGACAAGATCACTAGATATGTCAGCCACCGCGCCCATTCCCCGCACCAGTCAGCTGACTGGCTCGGACAGAGCCTGGGGCTTGTGAATGGCAAGAGAGAGTGCGGTCAACGGCACAGCTCATTTTCATCACTATAAACAATCTGACATGCTTGAAGCTATCACGGTGCGCTAAACGCCTTGGCTAGGAAGGCTGCCAATTGACGGGACAACTTGGACCTCGCAGTCGTCCCAGTGTTCTGTGTTTGTGTGGAGCGGCCGACTGATGTTCTAGGAGTCAGGCTGCAATGGCTCCTTCTTAATGTGGCCTTTATGGCACTCGCACTCTATGGGATCCGAACCAGGCGTGACTGCGCGCCTAGGTGCGACTACGGAGGCGCCATCTCCTTTTGTTATTGTTGGTTACAATTGTGGTCATTCGCTGTGTGCACCAGGGGGTGTGGAGTGGTGCGCCAAGGGGCGGGCTCGACCGTGCCACCCACCTGCACCCTCCCTGTCTCCGGTCTTCTTAACTCTGTCTTGACACCGGGCTCAAGTTGGGGAGGAGAGAGTGCGACAGATGCTGCGCAAGTTAATTATCACTATAAACTAAATGACGCGCAAGTCACCGTGCCTGGTTTACCTTGCTTTGGAGCACACGGCAGACATCATCAGATGGCACGGTCGAACTGTCAGATGACCCACCGCATATTTTTCTCACTTTATTAACGCAAATACCTAATTCTAAACTTCTTCAGTTCCCTAAATTACATTAGAGGTCTATGTTACAGTGTTTTTGGCTCACCAATAGGAAATGCAGAAAAACAATTTCTAAAGATGAAGCTTGATTTTAACTCGAGTTTTCATGAGGTTTGTAGGAAACAGTGGACAACAGGGAGTTTTTCCATTCAACCTATTCATGAATGAAGAAGCCCACAACTGGACCCACACTCTGAATATTTGAGCGCCCATATATTAAGTTATTTCCTCCAGAATTATGAGAAAGTTTGTAAAATAATGTGACCAGTCAGGTACTACGAAAATCGTAAAAAGTAACTATTCAAGTAGGCAGGCAGTGGTTGGCTTTTGTGGAACATTTCCCCCGTTGTGTAGTACAGTAGGTGTATTAACTCTTGGAATGTTAAACGTAATTCTGAAATGCGTTTTCGAGTTGAAGAGATGACTAAAGTAGGATTGTAATATTAACCATTGTGCAGCATAATCCAACAATAATCCAGTTTCTCTAGGATGCTGGCTTTTAAACGAGCTTCTTTTACAGAGGACAGGCGGATGAAAAGAAGTCCTTTCAAAAGCCGGCACCCTGGTGCAACTGTATTATTGTGGTATTATGCTGCACGACGGATAATATTATAATCCTACTTAAGGCACCTCTTACAGTCGAAAACGCATTTCAGATTTTCGGTTAACAGTTTATGAGCTAACACACCTACCGTACTTTCTATAGACTTCGGTCCTGTAATACTCCTTTCAGAATGCCAAACCAGAAGGCAAAAGTAATCTGTGACCTTTTCACACATTATATACCCAAAATTCGGAAGACAAGGATGCGATTACTGCAACAAGAAATTTATTGGTCTGACGTTTCGGATTCTCACTGGAACCGAGTGAGAATCTGAAACGTCAGAACAATAAATTTCTTGTTCCAGTAATCGCATCTACGTCTTCTGAACTGCTTCCTGTAACTCGCCTGTTCGCTTCTATCAGCATGCCTAGAATTCTCTTAAACTCATCCCACAACAGTCGGCACTCTGTAAAATCATAATCGATAATGTGTGTTTTTGTTCACGATTTCTTACATCCTCTATCCTAGTCGGACAGTTCAACGATCGGAGGCGGGCTCGGGCATACTGACTGGCACTGCTAAACAACCTGTCTGGGCACAACGAACCAGGATTTCATGCAACAAAAAGGGAGGGCAGCTCGGGTCCCAACTGAGTGGGAGTGATAGAAACGGCACATTAGGAAGGAGCCATTGTGGCCTGACTCTCCGTCCTGACTGACAGAGCTAAAGCAGTCCGTCTACGCGCGCCACAGACACACAATGCGGTCCCAACAAGGTGTAAAATGATTCCGCACATTGAGGGTAGGCTGTTCCGGCCCAACCTTGGGCAAAGTTGTATAGGAAAGGAGAAGGGGCCGAAGAGCGCACTTTCACTTACATGAAAAGTGCCTAGTCTGTGGCTGTAGTATGTGATGTCGAACGTGTTCATGGGCGTTGCTTGCGTTGATAGGGATATGCAGGGAGGTGTAATCTCGTCCGCGGTGGTTTATCGAGATTCTCATGGATATTCATGTGGCGGAACGTGCCCATTCGTTAAGTAGATGTAAGTAGGCGGTGCGTACAGATGACGCGGGTACGGGGGTGTATGTCGGGGCTCCCCTGACACTGGTTAGCCGGTCTCAATTCAATGGATTCGCAATTGACCGATAAGGCCGATATGTGATGTAAGGTTGCAGTCGCAGTGAGGAAAGTTTGTGGTGGTGTCCACATTGTTGGTGATTGTCGGGGCATCAGGAGTGCTCTCACCGCTGGTGCGAGTGGGAGGAGTGGTAGTCAACGTCAGGGAGGTTGTGACAGTGTTGATGGTTGCGATCATGGGTCTCGTAGGAGCTGCGGTAGGGCTGACGACTGAGGCGTCTGCGGCGGCAGGAGATGGGTTAAAATTGTCATTGTTACACTGAGTTCTGAGGTGTTCGACGAGACCGATGCGTGTGTCAAATGTTCGTTAACAGCGTGGACACGACGGAAAGGATGCACTGTTTGAGTAGGAGTCTGCAGAACTGCAAACTCGCAAGCTGCTCCTTTGACTTTGGCAGTGGTGATCCGGTTGGTTTTGAAGATTGCGGCTACAGTCTTCAGTGCTTCTCTCCAGTCTAGTCGGTCCTAGGTGAGATCGTCCTAGGTCGCCGGAGTGATTTGTAGGAAGGCACACAAACACAGCAGTGTCTCCCCAGAAGAGTTGCTTAGGCAAGCACTCGTAGTCCGTTCTTGCAAGCTGTCAACCCCTCCGCAGTTACCACAACCGGGAGTTGATGTTGAGGATTTTAGCTGGATCCTGAAATTTTGTGTCGGAATCCTGTCCTACCATCTCATCTTCGGTATTTGGCAGACACAACTGCGGTGGAAATAATTGTGTTCCCTGGATTGATTGGTGCAGACGGTCTACGTTTCCACTCAGTACAGTATCATCGTCAGGACTGTCACTCTCCGCATTTTGAGGTTTTTTTTGAGTCGAAATCTGTAGCGGTTCCAGGCAGAAGCCTGCAGCCGACCGAAAACCTGGCTGGTTTGCAAGATCTGGTGGGCAACCTCGCCACCTGTTTTAATGCTGCATGAGTGTACTGCCTAAGTAGGTGAGCTTGTCCACATTTGCGAGTCCGGTTCTATTCATGATGATGTTGGGGATATTGTGTTCCTCGATTGGTTCTGATTGGTGCATGACCACCGTTCTGTCCATGTTTATGGTCACCCGAAGCTAACACAGCGGAAGTTGAAAGGGTAAACTCTCCTTTGAATGTTTGATTATGTCATGAGATTGGGTGCACATTCGTCCGTGAAGAGGAGTTCATTGACGGTGGTTGTTGAAGTCCGCGTGCATGCTTACATTCTGCGGGTGTCAAGAAGCCAGCTGTCGGTCCTGTAGACGGTGCTGATCGCGGGGCGCTGATTAGGGTTGACGTTCATCATGACACGATATTGAAGAAGGTGAGAGCAAGCACACAGCCCTGCTTTACTCTGTTCGTTACTGCGAGGGTTTGTGAGGTGTCCCATTACCTGTGACGCACAGTATCATCTCGTCGTGGAGCTGGCGTGAATAACTTAGGATAATCGAATTTCCTCAGGACTCTCCAGAGCCCATCGCGATTCACCATGTTAGAAGCTTTTATTAAGTCCTGGAGGGTAGCGTAAGAGTAGGTCCGCATTTCCTGTCTTTTCTCTTGTGGTTGGCGAGCTGCAAAGAGCGTGTCGGTGGTTCCATGATGTCATCGGACGCCATACTGGCATTCCAGAAGAACTCTGTGTATAGCATGGCCGATGAGACGACTGGGAAGGATGTGGTCGAAGGTCTTCCCAGTATTGCCGAGCAGTAGATTCTCCTGTGATTATCACAGACTTGCTGGTTACCTTTCCACTTGTAAATATGGCGACTGCCGCATCCTTGAAATCCTGAAGAACACATCTCTGAAGCTACACCTACTGGAATATCGTCGTAAGTTTTTCAAAAAACCGGGGCCGCCGTTCCTGTAGACTTTGGCCGGGATTGCGCAAGATCCCGGAACTTTCTCAAAGGGGAACTGTTCCACGACCATGATTATTTCTGGGATGGAAAGCGTAACTTCCAAGGCATTGTTAATCTCCACCTGGGGGGGGGGCATTTGATAGTGGCGTTGGAGATCGTGGACGGACTGTCAAAGGCAGTTCTTAGGTGCTTAACCCGACGCCTCATAATTTGCGATTTCTCCGTGTTGGATGTTGTTACATCGGAGCCGAGAAACGCCGTGGCTCTCTGGGCTGTGGGGACGTAGACCGTGTTGATGGAGGCAAAGTAATTCTTAATTTCGCTGAGGTCCTCGTAGCCTTGAATTTCCTTGATCTTGCGATCCATCCCGACGTCCTTGCTGCACAAGGCGGCGGCATCTTAAAATGGCCGTCTTGTTTGCGTCGGTCAGACCTTTTCTTTTAGTCGAGCAGGCTGCAGATTTCTGCCCCATTGTTGTCAAACCGGATGATCGTTTCGGTGAAGTATGCAACTTAGGATGTCAAAGGCGGCGGAATAGATGAAGTTTTGCTGTTGACTCCATATTGCCTCCATGATGGCGTTGTCATCCGTAGTCTGAATGTGTTCGGGCACTGGAAAAACTGCTGAGATAGAAGTGGTGAGCCGACATATCCAATAAAACAGTATTTAACCTGCCTGGTGGTCTCCTATGAATGTGCTGTCAGAATCTCATGTTGGGGATGACGAGACGGTTGGCCGCCCGGCAGTCGACATCGCAGACCGCCTTTATCCCCAACACGTCCTGTCAACCTAGTCTCTGGACTAGAACGTTTTTCAACAGGTAACGCCGTCATCCGGGGCGCATCGAAGTTGTCTTCTCTGGCATCTGAATGCGAAAAAGGTGTTTTTTTTAGGAAGAGGCGGTGCTCTAAGCCGGTTCACAGAAGGAGGAGGTCGTCTTCATTACAGTTGCCGAGGCTATGTGGACTCAGAGCCCCCTCCTAAGCGGCGTGGTCTGCCCCGAAGCGACCCTTACAGTCACCGAGGACAATCAGCTTGTCTATATTCGGCACAGTCACCGGGAGGGCTTGGAGCATTCGCAGAGATTGATTATCACTTCCTCAATGCTGGTCATTCGGGGTGCGCAGACACTGATGATGTTGGCGAGTTTTGAATCTTTAAGAGGCAGGCACAGGGTCATGAGACGGTTATTAATGCCTTGCGACAGAAACGCCAGTCGTCCCATGCTGTCGACTCGAATCGTAAAGGCGACGCCAAAAACGTGTCGTTCTTCCTTTAAATGGTCGTTCCAGAACAGTATGCATTTAACACCCATCTTCTCCAGCTGACCTGGTTCGGAGAGTGGGGTCACGTCGAATACAGCGATGTCCGCCTTTTGATGTGCCGGTTCTCGAGCAATTAGTGACGTCCTCCTTTCCGGCGGGTTGATTCCCGGATTGTCTAGAATAGAACGAACGTTCCGGACTGCGAGAATAAGCAGAATCACTCGAGCAGCCTGGGGTGAGGAACGGGAGGATGAGGACGAGGGTTACTGTTCATTGTTGTGTTTCGACCTCGAGTTGTATATCTGTGGGCCACGGTTTCAGTGAAGATTACGTGATCCCAGTTTTTGTTTACGGCACTTTTCCTAGTTCTCTTCTCTGCGAAAGGGTAGACAATACTGTTCCTAACTAGAGCTGGTAAGACATTCGAGATGGCTGGCAAACTCCACTATGGGACACAGCTTGTTTTACAGGAAGAGCGAATCCAGTTAGCCCGGGTCGCCTAGGGATTGCATGTCGCTCTCTCCGTATAATTTTCTAAAAGTGGGAAGGGGAAGGGAAGGTGGAACAGAATTATCTGGCGTTGGACTCACATAATATGCCGATACCCTCGTCGGGTACAGACCGCTAATCGAGGCGGTTACCTGGATATGGCTGCTAAGCAGAGCTCTTGCTTCCGCAAGCCACAGTCGGGAGGTGAGGGGGGTAGCCTAGTACCTCACATAGGAAAACACAGTTGTGTTAAATAGACGGAAATCGAAACAAAGGTGGACGTAACCGTAAAAAAGGTGTATGAAACATACCCAGTTTTTCGCTTTTACCTCAAAAATTTGCTGAATAGAACAATCAAAACAAGAGACCATATTAAATGTGCTTAACTGCCTACTCGGCTAAATTCAGTAGTTTTATTTACTTGAACTAGAATAGCATGCTCAACCTGTCGTGAAATAATAGTTCAGTCGCTCCAAGCAACGATGTCATGACTGTCCGCAAACTAATTGCACTTCTGCTAAGCTTATGAATTTATTCAACGGTGAAGGGCGCTTGCAATACAATCTTCCTTATCTTTAAAAGACATGATACGTTTCTAGTGAGAAACGTAAACGATGGGCCCGAACCAGCACCATCGCACTATACTTTCTTCTCACACGCCCTAATGATCAACCTCAATCAAGCTAATTAGGATGAGTTTAGGCGCAGTGGCCTAAGCGAATAGAAGTCGATTGTGTCGCGTGTGACACGCGATTACAGAAGTCAGAGGTGCCACAGGAACCTCTTTATAGAAGAGGCATTACGGTTGGATTCTCGTCCGAAAGACGACGAGGGCTATCCCGTATCTGACTGCTCGTGCAAGATTTAGTGCATGCAGAGTCTTCAGGTTGACCGACTGGAGAATTAACTTGAATCCTGTAGACAATTCAAGATCACACCATTGATAGTACAGTCGATAAAACGGTCAGATCGCAGTTCATAGCCCGAAATGCGGAAGCTAACCCAACACTAAAACCCTAACCCTAAAACAACACTAACTCTAACCCTAAAACCTAATCCCAACCTTAGCCCAAAAATCCTAACCCTAACCTTAACCCTAAAACTTAACCCTAACCCTAAAGCCTAACCCTAACCTTAAAAACTAAAACCTAACCCTAAAACCCTAACCCCAAAACTCAAACCGTAACCCTAAAATTTAATCCTAGGTCTAACCATAACCCTCATTAAGCCCAACAACCTGACCGAAACGGGCGCCTTGCCTAACTTAGTGGAAACACACCTACTGATAACAAGTTTTCTTGACAAGGGCAACACACCCAGTGATTACAAGTACATCGACAATATCAACTCACTATGTCTGGCTACTAACTGCGATCTTACCGATAAAACATTTGTTCGGCAAGAATTAGGGTAGGATGAAGATTAATCTGGCATTTGTATCAGATTGCATGTCTTCGTGTTTAATTTGAACTTTCGAAAAATTGAGGATGGATTGGGACTACAAGGTACTAGAAGTCTGCCTAATTTTCGTTTTTCTATTAAAAATAATGACCGAGAGAACTGCGACGTAATAAATATGTTTCTAAAAAGTTGCGGCAAGATACATATACTGTGAGTGAGGACATCTCTTAGAATCCTAGGACAAGAGAAAGCTCTTCCAACGGGACTGTCTAGAAAGAGCAAGACTGGGAATGGAGTGACTCCGCTGTAAATAGGGAAAAATACGGAGAATGGAGAAGGTGAAATGAAAATGATGAACGGGCAGATCAGGCATCATAAGCAACTTTTCATTTGGCGGCAGCAGTCAAAGGGAAGAAGGCCGCTCAGTTGGGTGCATTGTCACAACCAGCAATCAGTGAACAATATGGTTTTTTACCTGGTCATTGAAATTCTCATCAACAAACTTGATTAAATGAAATGTCTTCTAGCAATTGTACTTTGTTATGAATGATATGATCGGAATTGGACAGGTTGAGGAGGCACATGGTCCGCAGCTGTAGGTAGACGGCTAGCAAATACAATAATAGGAGTAATAAAAGTGACGTTAAACGAAAAAAAATCGTTTTTCTCTAGACATAAACGACGGAAAAGATGTCGAAATTGTACAATGTTGCTTAATCCCTATTCTTCAGAAAAGATAAATATTGTCGTGATTTATAGACTCCGAGCTAAGGTAGTGATAGAAACCAAATACTTCTTGCCATATTACACGAAGACAATTAAGGAAGAAAGCCATTCCTTTTGCCAAATTTATTGGGCTCACAATAGGCTGAAAGTTTGCGACGGCACATATCTCAAATACGGACTTAATTACAAGCCATTAGGTGTGGTTATGGACGAGTTTCTTCTCCGGTGTATGCTCCTTAATAAGAACGTGGGATTGACACAGATCTAACTGTCTTTAACCGTATTTTTAAAAAGGCAGAAATTTCAATTGGTGTAATAACCGCCAACCCTGCATTATGTTCGAGTGACCATGTGTATCGTCTGCAGAAATGAACATTTATTCCGGACAGGAAAGGAATGGGAAATCCAGAACCATCTTAGGAAGGAGAATTTTTATTCATGAAATCGATTGTCAGGAGCAAAAGCAAAACAGCCTCTTTTGAAAAATGTAGTCATCTATTGTTGAGGGCATAGTTGAAAGCATGTTGTAATGATAACTAAATGGGCGCACACAGCTCCACTGGCTTCCCTAAATATACAAGCCATGTATGGGGACAGGAATCACGGACAGGTAGCCACCTTCCAGGCCGAATATGACCGAGCTATGATAGCGAGGTGTGTTAGATTGATACAGAACTGCTTCGGACTTGCTTGCTCTCATTCAGCCAGGGTTATGATTGGCTGAATGAAGGCAAACAAGATCGAAACAGTTCTGTACCCCCTAGACTCTGTCGTCTCCCCTCTGCCTTCATTCATTCAATTCTTAACCCTTGGCCACCGGCTGGGACCACAAACACAAACCTGTGCACGCACACCGGGCAGATGGTTCATCGCCGGGGTCTGCCATATGGATCATATGCACTTTATCAAACCGAATTTCGCCAGTGCTTCGCCACTTGCCTTTCTCTGGCGCTGAAGATCGAGTGTTTGTCATTCAGGAAAAGGGTGCACACCGCTCCATCGGATTCCCGAACCAAACAAACTTCGTATGGATGACAGGAGTCACGAACAGGCGACCACTCGCCAGGTTGAAGTCGGCCGAGCAA